TAGTGTTTGTTTTTTAGAATACACTAATCAGATTTTAGACTGTCTATCATCTACGCCAGTTTCATCACTTTGAATATCCAATCAAGAAAAAATCAACATATTTGAAGATATTTTTACGTACACAAATCAGCTGCGTAGATTTTTTGTCATGCACGATAATATAATCTAATACTAATGGCATCCTTCTACAAGAACTATTCAGAGAAATCATGAAAAAACTGTACTTAGTATTATTGAACTAGAAGATGAACTCTTGTGTGTGTGACTTCAAGTTTTTTTATTCACTGATATCGTCTCAATGTATACATACTGACTCATGCCTCCTTAAATTGTCAAGACTGTTAAGCAAACATTATTTCCTTGAACACTTTCTGGCGATAAAAACCGTATTGATAGTCACCGCGTAAATCCCTGAAGTATTATTTCATTTCAGTCGTGTTGTTAACATATTTTTTATTTTGAAATTTCAGCACATCACAGTATGATCCTTTCCAAATCATCCTCTACACATACAGCGTATAAGAGTCAGGCAAAGCAAAGGGGTTCCGCCAGCTTTTTTGTTTGGGTAGGCACATGATTATTTGTTCAATATATTTGTGTGCTTGTGTAGTTCATCGTAGATTTGATTATCATGATACTCATGACAGTGGGTGCTGTCGTCTTGATTAATAAAGAGTAAGATTAGATTAGATTGATAGATTAAACAATATTGTCATTTTAGAAATGCAATATGCAGCTTCTTCAAAGAACGTGGCTATATGCAATACATTCTTTTGTAAGTTCTATATTCAGTATTATTTTTGAACCTTTGCATTAATTTTTAATCACGGTGAAAGTTTCTACTGTTATTCTTTTGGTTTCTAAGTGGAATGTAAAACCTTCAATTCACTTTTTCATCAGCAGTCATTTCTCGCAGACTCCACGAAGTTTCTATAAACGTTCATTTCCTGCTCACACAATGTCATCCATCTAACTACCAAAATCGACTAGTTGTAGTCTGAAAGTATGAAATGGAACACTTCGTCCTCCTGCATAAGTGTGAATATTTCTTTGAGTCAAGCACAGTAACAAAAGGCTTTTTAATAAGCAAAACAACGGTTGTACGTCGATCGATCTCAGTATGGATCTATTTAAATATACTGACATCAGGAACTTCAAATTACTCCAACAATGCCTACTGACAGACATATAGGCTAGGACAAAGAGTTGCTGTAGGAAAAAATTAGTTGACGAAAGTTAAAAGGCAACAAATACCTGAGAATCAAGTGCTGTAATTCACCAGAAGAGGTGAGGTCGAAAATTCGGTTCACAAGACTCACAGGCCAAACAATGCCTGCAGACATAATGGGGTTCACTCAAACAAAATCGCAGAAGTAAAGCGACTTATGGTCAATGCATCACATAACCGCGATGAAAAATATTGAGGATCAATCAACATATAAAATAAAAGTGTGAGCGCAGTTGTCTACAGGGTATGAGAAAAACGGATGGTGATCACAAAGTTAGTCGGAACATCCAGATAACGTAAAAATATTGTGATTAAATTGGACTTTCCAATCAATTATTCAGTTACATTATTACGTCTCCTCTGCATGCAGCCTGTTTTGTTATAATCGCTAGTGTGTTATTCATCTGTCTTTTGTCTTTCCTGACATTAATCTCTACTTTTGTGCTGTAAATTGGCCAAAGCTTTTCCATCTTTATTAATCGTACCCCTAGCTATTCTACTATTTCATCATCACGCTCTACTCTAATGTTCTCACAACACAGTCGACCGTTGTCCTGCTTCTATTATCTTCATAATATGCTCATACAGGTTTTTTTATTATCGCCTCTAGAAACCTCCAGTGTTCTTCTACCCAGCCTTCCTCGGTAGTGGACAGGGCATAAAACGTCGCATTAAGGCTGAGACAAATTTGGTTAACCTTGATCACTTGGACATCGATGGTAATAATTTATGTATTGATATCTATTATCTTACCAGGAGATTCAAACGAACAGCAGCAGATGAATCAAAAAGTTTTCTTTTTTCTTTTCGAGTAAATAATGCGGAATTTCAACGCATTTTCTTCGTATTGTTAAAAAAATTATTACAATTTGAAATGTATTTCGAAATCATATAGTTCAAATTTCTTTTTTTGAATATGGCTGGAGAGGATACATATAAGGCTCTCATACGCTAGCTGAGACTGAACTAAGGATCCTAGTTGATATCAGAACGTTTGATCAAATCTGGAACAAACGAAATCTTCACACAGCGACACTCTCACATTTTCAAGGATTGGTCTGTAGGGATTTGTTCTCAACATGAGTTGGCATTAGTTAGAGAACCACTAAAAAACCTGGAAGTACTGAAGAGCTGTTTCGTCCTAGATAGGGACTCTTCAGCAAAGCGTTCCGATTCAACTGTGAATATATTTACTCATATTGGAGGCATTGGAGATCACCTGATCATTCAATAAGTTGATTTGTCCATTTTATTTTTAAATCTGAATACAGTGGCGGTCACACATGGTTTTAATTTAAATATTTATTAATTCGAGATTCTGGTAATATTTGTGAGCACAGTGGCAATATCTGCCTAGTTCACAGTCGTTTCTAATGAATCATTCGTCAGAATACTAAGGAACCAATTTCTCACTACCAAGCTGACATAGAAATGAGCATTCTCAGAAATATGTTTAAAAAAATATCTCACGGTAAACAGATCTATTCAACAATCTTTTCAGGATAAATCTATGTAAATACAGTGGAAGAGCAATGATAAAATCGTATGGTGATGCAATAAAAAACTGTGACCTTTATTCAGTTTTATCGATAAATCTAAGCAGTCGATTGGTGCTTTGATCCATAAAACAGATTGAATCAGTGACCTTCGACTTAAGAACTTCAAAGCCTTACTATAGTTATCCGCATAAAAGCATTTAATGATGAACACTGTGCTCACAATGATGTCTCGTTGAATGCAAATATACGCATATCCTTTTAATGTGCGGCTGTGTGTAAATAAATTAGAACGTACTTATATAGACCGATAATTGTGACAAAACTTGTTTTGTTTGAAATTTAAATGGACTATGACCACTGAGTATCGATGATGGTGTTGATCAGTTTGCTGGATAAAAATTAAGATATATATGTGCGAAATTAAGTTAATATTTTCTAACTCATCAATTTGGCCTGAGGAGATTGTTCCTGTAAGCCAGTTACTCCTGTTTCCCTTTTGTTACTTTTTCTTTGTTTGATTTATTCTTGAATTGACTTGGAAAGCGTTTATCTCATGTGTATACTCGTATCGCGCTGACTGTGACCAAAATTGTAGCCATCCAAAGCCTTCATGTTATGATCTGAACTCTGAGAAGCAGTCTAACAATTTTACTGAATAGATAACTGGACTTCCATGTGTAACTTACAGTCCAAAAATATCTTGACGATAATAAAAAGATAATCATAATATAGTCAAAGTGATAGAAATAAAATTACAGCTGCTATTCAACTTTATTAAGCTTATCAGAGCAAAGAATTACCTCAGTGATCCCGTTAGGTGGCTATGTAGATTGGAGAATATTCCAGTATGACTCCGGTACTGTAGAAAGAGATTAGTTAATCAAAACTCAACCGTGAGCTCTACATGACAATCAAGTGGAGTATCCCTAACAAGGTGAGATCAAAACTGTCCGTATGATTCATGAATCAAAAAATTATCGAAGGTCGGAATGACATTGACTAAGACAAACAAAAGTGCAGTCAGAAAACTCTGCATCGATTTCATCCTACAACCACGAAGAGAAGCAATAACATTGAAGACTCAACATGGAGCCAGACAAATAATGACGACAAATTCAGCGGATGAAATGAAAATATCAGAAAAATGATGCACAGTTCACGGGAAAAAAAGGATTTGTCATTGTGGAAAGCGAATTAAATCATACCAGTTTCCCGGAATTACATTTAACTTGCAGAAAGGTGAATTCGATTTAGGTTGCTTGACGTACAAATATATATCCTCCTGTCTTAAACTAAACAATACGTTTAAGTCTATCATTTCCATTCAGGAAATTCCAGTGTCTGTCGGGAAGAATTAGGTGATGCTCAACGTGTAATGTATTCGGGTATTGTAATGATACACGTTCCTTTCATATGCACTTATATAAAAGATGTCAGGATTTGAATAGTCGAAATTCATCGAATACAGATGAAAATGTTGAAGTTCAGGTAGACAGATAAAGTGTACGAAACATGGGAAGGTCGGAATAACACTGGGTAAAAATTTAAGGGATTTTCCAATTAGGTTCAGAATGATAACAAATGATATTTGAATATATAAGACTAGTTTAAACACATAATACACGCCTGTTGTACTATTAGGTCTACGTCAATATTGTAATCATTTTTATAGCCTCGGCGACTGTCGACTACGAGCAACTAACTTCGGAGTTAATTGGCTTGGATGACTTCAAAATTCATTTGTTAGTCGGAACATGTAAAACTTGATGTGTTGGACGTCTGACCACGTGTATGTGTGATTTTTCAGGTATGGTGATACGTGACAGTATTTTTTGTGATGATGTGACAGCTTAGAGGACAAGTCATATTTAACCTTCTTCAATGAAACGAATTTAGCTGCATAGGAGCTTCCACCGCTCTGTGTCTTCGTTAAATAATGTGACATTAACCTCATATATTGGTTGCTGACTAGATCGATGAAGGCGTCTCTCTGAGATTTATTTTGTTTTGGGTTGATTCTAGAAGAAATCTATTATCTGATAATACTTTAGTGTGGCTTCAAGTTTCTTTTATTCAGTGGTATCGTCTGAATATATACACAATGACTCACGCCTTTTTAAACTGTCAAAACTGTCAAGCAAACATTATTTCCTTGAACACTTTCTGGCGATAAAAACCGTACCGAAAGTCACCGCGTAAATCCCTGAATTATTATTTTATTTCAGGCGTGATGTTAACATCGTTTTTCCTTTGAAATTTCAGCATATCTCAGTATGATTCTTTTCAGGGCATCCTCTACACATGCAGCGCATAACAGTCAGACAAAGCAAAGCGGCTCCCCCAGATTTTTTGTTTGGGTAGGCACATGGTTATTTGTTTAATAAATTTGCGTGTTTGTAGTTCATCGTCGATTTGATTATCATGATACTCACGACAGTGGGTGCTGTCATCTTAATTCATAAAATGTAAGATTAGATCAATAGATTAAATGATATTATCTTTTGTAGACCTACAATGAGCAAATTCTTCATATATGTGGAATACATTCTTCTGTAGGTTCTGCACTCAGTATTGATTACTATTTTTGGTTTTCTCAGTGGAATGCAATACCTCTGGTTGACCTTTTTCTCTGCAGGCCTTTCTAAATCACTCCATGAATGTCCATAAACTTTCATTTTCTGCTCACACATTGTCAGCCATTTGAGGACCAAAACCGACTTATTGTGGTCTGAAAGGAGGAAATGGATCATTTCGTCCTCCTGAATAACTGATAATAATTCTTTGAGACACGTACAGTCACAAAACGCCTTAAAGTCACCAAAAAGCAGCTATGTGTTGATCGACCTACGTGGATCTGTTCAGCAGAGCTCTCATTAGAAATCCAAAATTATTTCAACAGTGCCTGTTGGAGGCCATATAGGAAAGATGGGTTCTACTACAAAAAGAAGTAGTTAAGAACAAAATGAGTTCACCAAAGTAAAACTTCAATAAGTAGCTGAGAATCAAGTAAAATTTTTCAAACAAGGCGGAATCAAAAATCCTGTCCACAAGACCAACATACGAAACAATTTTCGCAGTCAGTTCAGCATTAGAATATCCTTCATTCAGTCAAACAAAATCTTTGTAGCAAAACAACACAATGCCAATGTTTCTATAATCACAACGACAAGTAATGAGCATCAACTCTACATATATGAAATTGTGAGCATAGTTGTATACAGTCTAAGAGAAAAGCGAATAGTAAGTTGAAATATCCAAATAATCACAAATATCGTGATAACATCGTACATACGGGACTACACAAACACATATTCAGTTACAGTATTAGATCTCCTCTACACTCAGCCTGTTTTGTTTTATTTGCTAGCGTGTTGCCGATTTGACTTTTGCTTTCCCAGCACTTTACATTGTACACTAGTCAAAGCGATTCCATCATCATTCATATTCGAGCCAACTCCTCGTATTTCACCAACATGCCATACTCCGAAAGTGTCGATGCACAGTTGATCGATGTCTGCCTCCTTCTATCTTCCTTAAATAATTATGAAGACTTGTTCTTAAACCACCTGTAGAAACGTCTAATGTTTTGTTCCATTTGTTCTATTGCGTGAAGTAAATGTGTCCTTTGTAGTTCAGTGTTTCTGAAAGTTGAACTTTAACTGTCGTTCATCTCAGCCTTTTCCAAAAGTCTTCAACATGACCTCGGAGGTCCAAGTGGTCACCTGCTTCTCCTCCCAATTTTGCCTCCAGATGGCTGCTTTGAGAAGTTGTTGAGATCGGGATCAGTTCTATCCGTTTTTCGCTATGTCCTTCTAGTGCGAAACATACTGACATGTGAGTGTCATTGAATACACAGAAGCAGCCGGAAAGGTAGCTTTTCTAGTTCTTATCTCCAAGTGGCTTTCAAACTATGATTAGTTTTAAAGGTTCGTCGTCCGCTTCAAATTCGGCTTCCATATCACTTATTTCATTTCTGATGTCTCAAGTTGGGTTAATGGTCTGCTACTCTTTGGGGTTTTCGGTAGAATGCATCCTTATTATGTTGATCTCCATAGCATGGCATTGAATACTTTTTACAGCATTTACATATTATCTCCTTATGCCACACACCCGAAGGAGATTGATTCACAATAGATAATAACTTTCTAAGCTGTTACTGAAATTATGATAGCCATATTCGTGTAATTCTATGTGTAAAACATGGGCACTGTTGTAGTAAGTAATTCCATATTAGTTTTTTTATTAGTTGTATCACACAGTGAAACAGTATTATTTACTGGAACACGTTTCGAACAAAATTTATTGTTCGTAATCATATCAGTTAAAATCACACGACTTAAAAACTTGAGTTTTATAGTTTTCTTTGTTGTCTCCTGTTTGTCTTAGGGTTATTAGGATTTTTCAAATATGTGCAACAGGTGTTGAATCACTCCTATTACACGTATTTGCAGTTGATTCGATAAACAAAGCTTATGTTATCAATCTCTCCTTCCACCCTATGACATTAGATTTCAAAACTGTCTCTCATCCTACCCCATCCTATTGTATGGTTGTGTGTAACTGCATGTAATGCTATGGCTGAACTATTCTCTAGATTTCTTATTTTATTTAGGTCAACCAATCTAGATTTTGCTAAGTTTTTATGTTCTGCTAGTCTGACTGCCCTTGTTCTACTAGTTTGACCTATGTATTTCACCTAACAATCATAGCAGGCCGAGTATTAGGTAAACTTAATTGTTTTGTTTTAAATGCTCCACGGGATTGATCCTTTAGCCGACAAAGCTTGTTTCTAATTGAGTTTGTGGGTGGTTTGAATGCCAGCCACTTTCATTCCTGCCTGCCTTGTTAAGAATTCTGCGTAAGGTGGATTCCGAGGTTCCTTGCTTGTATGGAATTACTGCTGATAACCTAGATTCCTCATTGTTTATATTGTCATTACCCTGCGTATGTTTGACATGCATGTCATGAAAAAGAATACTAATATTATTAAAATTATTATTATTAATCGTCGATGATACTGAAGGCAATTTTTAATCACCACTTTATGATTAAGGGCTTGAATATACAGTCTTCGTTCATGTCTGACAATTCCATATCTTGTTCTTTCATTTCGCTCGCAATCTCGACACTCCTGACAGTCTCAATCTGCTGAGGACATTGAGCTACCATTTCATGTTACCAAAATTACTTTATCAATCATCCAAAAAAGATGCAGTTAGTGAACAGCTTCTCAAAAGTCACAACTATTGAGTTTCATTTGATTTTTCAACGACGAATGAGTTTTTTTCGTTTATGTTTCTGTATATTATAAATAGTCATGTGGAGAATCGAACATTAATCATATAATGAATAATGCTGAATAATTATGCACTGTGTGAGATGAGTTATTGATATTTGCCAATTCATTTTAGATCAGTTACTGGCGTCCTAATAATAGTATTTATATTTGTGAGAAAAATTCGGTCAAACTATCTTGCTACTCGTATGGTGCTTGAAACTGTGGTAAGTATCGATTTGATTTAATCCTACATGGCAGTCATGGGATTTTCGAGGATTCGCAAATGTCTGTGGCAGCGGTTACGTATTCTTATTTCGGCCTTATTTGTTTCTAAACTGCTACATTTACATTTATAGTACAGTGTTGTTTGTATTTCCCACCCATTATGGCTTTGGCACCCTATTGGACTTGGACTGTTTCAACCCTCCAAAATATTTGGTTTCCATCACTGCCATTGCGAGCATATTTATAAATGTTTATATTCAACTGCTGTCAGCTCTTTTACGCTGTTTATATGAGATCGTAAATGTTCCACGCAAAGGATGTGTCTTCTTATCTTCTTGCATAGGCAGTTCTGTGATATCGTATCGTATCGTGCCGTTGTTGCTTGCCATTGAACTAGGCAGGAAATATTTAAGCGCAAACTACATATTGTAGTCCCTGTCATATCACATATAATTGGGAATATTTCGCGATGTGAGGGTAGAAAACTCATATTTCTATGACACACCATCATGCAATTATAGTAAAATAATATTAAATTAATGAAGGAACTGAACACATTCTTAACAAAAGCGCCTCTTCCATGCTAACTGATATTTAGTGAAAGCCTGCCTTGTTATCACTAGTTTACATGTAGTTCGCTGACACAACAGAGAATATCAGCATATAAATTTAGCTTATATTATTATTATTTAGCCAAATATAGACTGCATATGAAGTAATAGCTTCCATTGTTTCATGCATCGATAAGTTCAGGATGGTTTTGATTTCACAAGAATATCGATGCACCACAAAAGAATCAGTCCACTAGTACTTCAATTGGATTATTATTATTATCATTGTTCCCTTAGGTTCCTAGTGGGACATACGGCTTCAACTGCACATCTCCATTTGCTTCTATCTTCCTTCTGCTGTACTTGTCACCTGCATCCATGTTAGTCCATACTGTTTCAACTCCTCTTCACACAATGTCATCTGTGTCACTCTTAGACGCCCCACTCACCGTTACCCTTTCGGGTTCCACTAGAGCAATGGCTTGACGAGCGCGCGATGTCACTCAGCGGCCTCCCCAGCCGCAAGTGTCCAATCCATCTCCACTTTCTCCTGCATATTTGTTGAGCGATTGGTTCTTGTTTTGTTTGTTTCCATAGTTTCTTGTTGGTGATTCTTTCCGGCCCGGCCATCTGATATTCAGTATAGAGCCAGCGAAGACAGTTGTTGTGCGTCGGTGGCACAGTGGTTAGGACTCCAGCCGACCATGCACATGGTCCAGGGTTTCAGCCCACGCCGACGCACCCGTGATGTCTATGGTCGACCTGTGAATTTTGGGCTACTGATATCCACGCTGAAATTCCACACTTGTACCAAAAATACAGTGTGGAATCAAGCTGTAATAAAAAAATAAATGAATAATGGTCTGCAATAGTCTGTTGGAAATATTCTTTGTGACCCATCCGCCAAGTTTCTGATCCATATAGAAGAACTGACTGACTTGACGTTTGTAGTGAAAATCCGAATTTTTTTGTTGATACTCAGTGACGATTGGTTTCAGTTTGATGAATGTGTTCCTCGCCTTCCTGATTCTCGCTCGATTTGACATCCTCGTTCGTTCCTCCTTTAGTTGAGACAATGCTCCCTAGATAAGCGAGTGAATGAAGTAAACTCTTTCAAATCTCTCCCACTGATAGTGATTGACGCTGGAAATTGGTGCTTTTGTTGTTGTCGGTTGGTTAGTTGTTTTCATAACCTCCGTCTTGTCTATGTTCACTTGGAGTCCTGTCTTCACTGGCTGCTTCTTCGACCAGTTTGTCGGTTTTCGCTTGTAAGTCTTCGACTTTTGTGTGACATCAAACATAAATCATCCACGCGCGACATCCAGGTCTTCTAGGTTCTTTCCCTTGAAAGTCCATTGTACTAGATAACGGTCTGAACCCAGATCTGCTCCACTCCTCGACTTTGTGTCCGGTAGGCTCCGTCTCCACTTTCTTGAAATTGAAATGAAGGCTGTCTGGTTTTTGGTGTGTCCATTTGCTGAAAGCCATCTCGCCTTGTGTATATCCTTGTGTTTGAACATACTGTCACCAATCACCAAATCATTGAAGGCATAGAAATCTTAGAAGATTTTGTTCATTTCACTGAGGGCATTCAAGTGGATAGGTTAAATAAATTGACGCGTCCTCATTCCACTGGGAAATTATCGCATTGCTGACAATATGCACTTGATTTCTTCATATCTCAAGCAATCCTTATTTAATTACTAAAGAACTATCGACATTATTTTCTCTGTGATAGGTTTTACTCTGGTCTGTGATCTTTGCTATCGTTTTCAAATCAACTGAATGGACACATGAGTTGATATCACTGGGTATTACGATTGCGATAACAATTTTGGCGGTCATTCTGAGTTGGAAACTATCACCATTGAATAGGAAGGGGTTTATCGTTTTCATTTCAATATCAATCGCCGTTGCTGTTTTGGCCATCATCGCGGTGATTTGTTATTACTTCTTCTGCAAGGAAGGTGATTTAAAAGGAAAGGTAAATTCATATAGATAAAAGGTGAATTATTATACACAGGCAACTCATGAAATAAGATGAAATCTCTCTTTGATTTCCTTGCTATTTCGCTTGTTGAATATATCTCTAAATTGAATGTGGTATTATGAACCATAAGAACAAATACTTACAGCTTACTGGCGCTCACTTTAACAGAGATGTTGTCTACGCAATATAAATGGATATCGATTTGTTTCGTTACAATTTGTACAACTAAAGACAACATTCAAATGATATCATAACAACAACAACCAAAGATGTGACTGTGGTGTAAATACCTTCGGAACTTAGTCAGATTTCATTTCAGAAAGAGTTTTAAAATGACGAGCAAGCAAAATTCTTGAGTACGTCACTTATCTTCATGTCATTCAGTATGTCACTAATAGCTGAGATTCTAAATTGCTGTTTTTGTGAGGTGATGAATATTCATTACTGCGAGGACCCTGTTTATTGGCTTGGAAGTTACGGCAATTAGGTTGTCAAATAGCAGCAAACCTGAGTACTTTCGATTGTGAGTAACCAACTTTTCTACTTTTTTTCAATTTAGATAAGCTGCTTTGCGATGGTTGTTTTAATCGATCTATTTATAATCATTGTAAGTTTGTGATTTTGTCTAATCACTGATAGCAGTTTTTATTGATTTGTTCTGGTTAAAGCTTCATTCTATACCGTAATTTATGGTACAGGTATCGAATCTTCAGCATGTGATATCGGTAGACAAATTCCGCTGACCGACCATAGATATCAGGTGTGCGTAGGCAGGGGATCGAACCACGACGAATTTAAAGAGAAATAATACGTAGGACATAAGGTGTTTGATAGTAATACACTGGCAGCCTCAGTCTTCTAATTACTCAGATGATGCTTTGTTACTCTGAATTTACCAGATAACATATTTACGGTATGAATGACATATTTATGTTTGATTCCACACAGGTTTTATTGGTACAAGTATGAAATTTGCAGCACGTGACACTGGTAGCCCAAGTTCCTCATGTCGACCATTAATATCACGTGTGCGTTTGCAGATGATTGAACTGCAGACTATGTGCATGGTCGGTGAGAGTCGTAACCACTGTGCCACCCACTCACATAGGAAGTGAACTGAAAAAAAATACTGAACCAAAAAGAACACTCGAAATCCCAAGTTTTAAGGACAGTTAATCAAGAAGAATATGTGAATTATCATCAATGCGAAAATCCGCTATAAGTGATTTTTATGAATGTAGGTCTGTTGTAGGTGTGAAGAATATTCACTGTAATTGCAGTCTGTGCAGGATTTCTTATCCTCTCGCTATTTATTCCATCTGCGCTAATTCTCATAGCAACACCATCAACTTGACGGAAACAGTCCCTTTCAAAATTTAAACCTAACATTGTTAGTTATTATTATTTTATTATTATTGTATCCTTTAGTTCCTAGAGGAACATAGGGCTTCAGCTGCGCACCTCCATTGACTTCGGTTTTTTGACAACTTTTTCACCCTGCTCCAGGTCTGCCCACATGCTTTCATCTCCTCTTCACATGACCTCCTCCAAGTCACCCTTGGACGACCAACTCGCCGCCTCCCTTTCGGGTTCCACTCGAGGGCTTGTCTAGTGATGTCACTTGATGGTTTCCTCAGCGTATGGCCAATCCATCTCCATTTCTTTCTGCCTATTTGTTTCACAATCGGTTCCTGATTGGTTCGCTCCCAGAGATCCCTGTTGCTGATCTTTTCTGGCCATCTGATCTTGAGTATTGAGCGGAGACAGTTGTTAATGAAGGTTTGAAGTTTGTTTGAGATGCTCTTTATGACTCGCCAAGTCTCTGATCCGTATAGTAGCACTGACTTCACATTGGAGTTGAAAATCCGGATCTTATTTTTGATGCTGAGTGCTGTTGACCTCCACACAGATTTGAGAGTAATGAAAGCTTGTCTTGCTTTTCCGATTCTGGCTTTGATGTCCTCGTCAGTTCCGCCTGTAGTTGAGACGATGCTTCCCAGGTAGGTGAAGGAGGTTGTTTCTTTCAGGTTCTTCCCATTTATGCTTATTGTGGTCTGTTGTTGCTGTTGATGTTGGCAAGGAATCTTCATCATCTCTGTTTTATCTATGTTCACGTGAAGTCCTATCTTTGATGCTTCTTCTGCCAACTTGTTACTTTTCATTTGCATATCTTCCAGTTTATGGGAAATCAGACATATATCATCGGCGAAATCCAGATCCTCCAAGTCTTTTGTGTCAGTCCATTTTATGCCTGTTCCCTCGTTGGTTGCCGTTGTCTGTCGCATTATCCAATCAATTGCAATCAGGAAGATCATTGGTGATAGTAGACAGCCTTGCCTCACTCCCGTCCTCACTTCGAAGGCTTCCGTAAGTTTCCCGTTGTGGATTACTTGGCATGCAGCATTGTCGTATAACTGTTGGATGAGGTGTATAATTGTCGATGGGACCCCGTAGTAGCGAAGTAGTTTCCAAATGACCTCTCGATCGACGCTGTCGAAGGCCTTTTCAAAGTCGATGAAGTTGAGATAGAGAGGTGACTGCCATTCCAAGCTTTGTTCAATGATGATCCGTAGAGTGGCGATTTGATCAATACATGATTTGTTTCTCCTGAATCCAGCCTGTTCCGGACGAAGTTTTTCATCTAGGGCTTGTTTGATTCTCTCCAGGATGATGCGACTTAGTATCTTGCTTGGAATGGACAGAAGCATAATTCCACGCCAGTTTTTACATTGACTTAAGTCTCCTTTCTTTGGAAGTTTGAATAAGTAACTGTTCTTCCAATCCTCGGGTACTTTGCCCTCTTTCCACACCTTCTCCAGTAGTGGTGTCATCAAGTCCGCTGTTGTCTCTGGGTCTATTTTCAAAGCCTCTGCTGGGATTCCATCTGGTCCCGGTGTTTTCCCAGTTTTAAGCATCTTGATTGCATTCAGGACTTCTGATTTCGTCGGGGGGTCAGTGTTCACTGGTAGTTCTGCTTCCGTTGTTGGTATTGCTGGACGTGTTGTAGGTGGCGGACGATTTAGAAGTCTTTTGAAGTGTTCAACCCAGTGCTTTCTCTGTTCCACCTCTTTGGTGATTGACTTTCCATTGTCGTCCTTTATTGGCTTAATCTGTGTCGAACGTTTGCCCGAAAGGTTCCTAGTTGTTTGGTAGAGTGTGGCGAGGTCTCCTTTGCCTGCAGCTTGTTCTGCTTCGTTTGCCATGGTTTCATAATATTTTCTTTTGTCTTCCCTGGCACTTTTCTTCACTCTTTTGTTCAGTGTATTGTAGCTTGCATTCAGCTCCTGTTTTTGTTGCTCGTCGTGCACTGGATAATCTTTTGCTTCACTGTCCTTCTCTCTTCTATTAGTTTCCAAGTGTCCGTAGTGAGCCACTGTTTGTCCTGTCTCTTTTTTCTGCCTAGAATTTCTATGCAGGTTTGGCTCCACACCGTTTTCAAGTTGTTCCAGTGCTTTTCAACGCCGACCTCTTCGCTAGTGTTGATTTGTGTCTCGGCTTTGTCCTTTATGCTTGCAATGAAGATGTCCTTTGTAGCCTGGTCCTTCAGCTTTTGAGTGTTGAACTTGGCTTGTGGTCTATCTGCAGCTCCTCCTTCTTGAAAGCTTTTAATTTGATTTGGATTGTCCCTTGTACGAGATAGTGGTCTGAGCCAACGTCTGCTCCTCTTCTTGCTTTTGTGTCCAGTAGGCTGCGCCTCCACTTCCTTGAGATTGAGATGAAGTCGATTTGGTTTTTGGTTTGCCCGTCTGGTGACACCCATGTAGCCTTGTGGATATCTTTGTGCTTGTATACACTGCCACCAATCACCAGTTCGTTGAAGGCGCAGAAGTCGGCGAAGAGTTCTCCGTTTTCATTCATTTCTCCTAGAGCTTCTCTACCCATGATGAGTTCCCTTCCCGTATTGTCTGGTCCCAGTTTGGCGTTCATGTCTCCCATTAGTATTTTCATGTCGCCAGCTGGAGTATTGTCCATTGTTGCCTGTAGTTGCCTGTAGAATTCTTCTTTCTTCTCGAGGTCTGCGTTGTTTGTGGGTGCATAACATTGTATGATTGACACTTTCCTTCCTTTGGAGTTGAACCTGGCGGTCATTATCCTGGACGAAATCGCCTCCCATTGTATCAGGGCTTTCGTTGCCGTTGGTGACATCATGATAGCCACGCCCTCGGTGTGCGTGTGGTTATCTTCTGGGTGACCGGAGTAGATCACTGACTCACCTGTTGACAATTTGGTGAGTCCACTCCCATTCCATCTGCTCTCACATATTCCCAGCACTTGTATTCCGTATCTTTTCATCTCGTTGGCGATCTGGGCAGCTTTTCCAGTCTCGTACATAGTTCGGACGTTCCATGTTCCTACACAGACTTTTTCTTTTGGTGCAAAGAGGTTCATTTTGCTGAAGGTTCTGTAGCAATTTTGTTTACAGGGTGGGGTTGCTAGCCTCACGCCTGAGAAAAGAATGATTACATTAAGTAAAAGTTTAGAGAGAAGCAACTTTTTGGGTTGCTCCCCTCAAAATCAGAAAATAACGGACAAACAATGAGAACAACATCAACAAAGGAAACAGTTCACAGAAAAAAGGGCAAAAAGCGACGACAACTATAAAATAGGACAACATGCAATATAGTTCAGTACAGTTAACTAAAATGATATCTTAACCATAAACTCACTGACTTGGAGCAACTTGAACATATAAATCCAACAATATATACAATTATAGATGTGTTTATGTTTAAAAATTCCACAAATCCAAACATTGTTAGTACATAGAAGTAATAAATCCCTTGAATAAGATATAGGGTACGGGATGAAATAATTGTTTGTGGAAATGTAATCACACAAAATGTTCATTGTTTTGAGCAAAGGCACATTAATAAATACGAGTTTACATCAAAATAGTACATATTCTAATTCATAATAATAATATCATTAAGAAAATTAACCAATTCAAATGTTTCTCCTTTTTAAGACATTCTTACAGAATTGTGTTTTGACTGGATGAAATAATTCTACTAACCGCACAGCAAGTTTATGCGTTGGGGATTTGCACGTTGACAATATAGGACGTAGAGGATTATTGGGTTTATGTATTTTTGGCAAACCACACATATGCGGGAATTTATCTCTACCTATAGCATTTAGGCTATAAGGGTTCCCTAGATTAGCTGTCACTGTGCCCTGCAACAACTAAACATCTTCTGAGGAGGGAAGGTACATTTGACTCTTTAAAACCATCAGAAGACGGATATAACTGTTTATCTTTCCTAGACACATTCCTTAGTTGATGTCTTGGTGGATCAATAAATAGATCTGTTAATAGAAAACCTACCTGGACAGGAGAGCATCTTAATTACCACAGTGTCTGCCCTCTTCGATGCAAAAATGCATTATCGGGTGAGGTGCTTATTCAGTAGAATACAACGAATATACACTGAAGACACACTTGATGAAGAAGAAAGAAAGTTGACACACACTCTGGTTGATAACAATTATCCAGACAAGTTCATCAGGAGATGTAAATTAGTCAGAATAAGAAGACCCAATCTTCAACTCGCCCCAAAGAAATGCGTTTACAGCAAGCTACCCTGTATAGAGCATCACAGCAGCTTGATAACTAGACAAAGACTGAACGCTGCTGTTAAAAAGACTTTTTATGCAGCTTATATCATAATAATAGAAAATGTAAAGCCAATATATCTATCTAAGCCCTTCAAGCATGCGAAAAATGACGTCACATCCCAACGTATTAACCAATTGGAATGTACGTGTGGACACACATACATAGAAAGGACTCGTCGATCTCTACAAGTAAGGGCAAAACATATTATAGAGATAGGGCATCTTTTAAGCCTATGTATTAAACGTGTGTTGGGGCGTATCTTGAAGTTTATGGAATCCCTAGCAATGAGAAAGTTTAAACCACCTTTATGCGTTCAAAAACAATTCGTCATCACGTTAAACCTTTATTGATAAATTTTGTTTTGATACCATAGTAGATGTACTATTATCTCTGCTATTTAACTTAGTGAACTTCATTGTTATTTTGACAGTCAGTTTGTCGTTTTAACTTGACTAAAGTCTATTTTCTAACCTCTCTTTATTTCATATATATTCCTATGACAAGTCCGTGTGTGATCGGATTGTTCCAAATGTGTTGCTCAAATACATTACACGATTCTGGCAAACTACGTCTTCTTATTGATTTATCTAAGCTTATAATCTTGTTTCTATCTCTTTCTTACTTGACAGATCATGTTCACTTGTGTCAGTGTCCGTAAATGGCTGATGTGGTTGTTCGCACCTCAACCTACAGAGTTTATTCTGGCTGTCATGATTTGGTTTCTTATGCTAGGCTTCTTCACTGAAACGTATACTGGTATTGTATCATGCCTAAAGCAGTGCAAAAAAAAATACAGATGAATGATATTTCTGAAGATATCCGTACTAACAGGTTAAATTTGTCTTCTTTCTCCGGATTGTAGTTTGCTCTTTTGGTTACGTACATTTACAAATTTCGGTGTTTCGCAAAACGGAAATTGTTTAAACATCCAATACACAAACAGAGTAGAATAAACATATGTGAGTTCTTCTCACTCATCATTTTTACATGACTGCACACTAGATGAGTTAAGCGATTGAGCATTGTCTGGCAAATATAATTTGAATTTTAAGAATCTGTCAATCATTTCTGAGCACAAGGATTGTCTTTTCAACATTTAGAAGGTTCCCTTACGAAGACTGTTCGCATGTTTCATTCCTACAATGATTGCAATCATTCATTTTTCCGTCTACAATATTGTAACAATCCTTCATAGGGGAAGGTTATCCACATGATCAGTTAAGCAGGTTTTTAACAGATAAACACGTGTCCTTTTATAATTTATTGAGAACCTAAAAATTAGAATGACTAATGTTATAATGGTTGTAACATTGAAAGACCACTTCCACATACACGAGATATTTCATGGATGACTTTCCTATGTTTCACCAGAACTGCAGGCAACCAGACGAGACTGTTATCTATTCAGCCACTGAGAAATCACCAAGCGTAATCCTAACTTCTGTCATTCATCAATATGTAGCGACAACGCCTAAGTAATTTCATAGGTCCTCATCAGCACCTGGGCAGACGGTGTTGAACGCTAACTCCCACTCAGTTTTCAGGTAGCCTTATTTCAAACTTTGTCATTAGCCAGAAGATCACCGAATATTGGAACTAATGGGTCATTGAATTTAACTTCAGTGACTGAGTGATATGAGGTATGTTTTTGTAAAGCAAAGGTCCTGCGTTCCATCATTCTGAAGGGATGTGCGTGAATAGCTCAGAACTCTCAGACGATGACGAATTAGTCATCCGACACTCAATGGTTTTCTGTAATGAGGTTGGTTTACGATTAAAATAAAAATAAGTGAAATGCCTGCAAACCAAAACTTGGAAATCCTATGAGTAGTTTGCCAGTCTCACTGTGTACTCTTTTGATATCAGTGAAGCGAATTTAACAGAGTGCTACACATTTCCTTACACATGAAAAAGATTTCAAATTTGGAAACGGAAGGATGATGTGGAACGATGAAACCATTATCATATATATTCCAGCTGCATACGTATATTCACGTGAATATCTACCTTTTAACCCAAAACAAAAGCAGTGATAGTAGATAGATGGAAATCCTTCTGATGTTTATGTCATTGATTGAAATTTACCACAATATAGCGCTTAACATAAAATAAGTACATTATGTATTTCTTGAATTCCGTTTACAACCCGAACAGGATAAAATGTTTCAACTTGATTAGGAAAAACTGGTCAGACACATAAATAATAGAAGTCTGTATTGATGTTAACTGGTTAATTATCAGGAATAAAAAAATTGAAACGACTGCCTCATAGTTCGAATCTAACTGGGACTAAAACCACCAGTCGATGAAAATACAGGTAATATTTGGTTGATTAGTTTAATTAGAGGTGCACTGCACGTCCTATATTTCACTGCTAACCATAGCCAATCTGTTATGTACTCGTCGCCAAATTATTGTTATGTACTAGTCGAGAATTTAATAGTCCTGACGCGAGGAAGACGGAAATCAGAAGACTACTAGGTTTGCGATGATACTTCTATTTTCCAAACACAAGGAGAATGCAAAAGTGGTATCACACCAAAGTAAGTAAAGTAGTCACAAGATTGTGAGAACGATATATGTATATATACATATATGACCGTCAGACAAGCGTGTGAACAAATCAATAGACAGTCTTAACAGGAATGGCTAATTATAATGGAGTGTCGATCCAAATATACATAGCGAAATATAGCAGACATGTCAACAACCACCATATACGGATATATGTCACCAAGCAACGGACTGTCAACAAACACTCATATTATATTATATATTATATAAGGGGAATATACATTGTTAAGGAGACAGGTTCATCAAAATGAAATGGTCACAGACTAAGCGAGCAATCAGAAAAAGAGATAACCATACACACACACATATATATATATGTGGATACATATCACAATCACAATAACTGTCAGATGAAACGTAAAATAGCGTCGAAGCATTTTTAGCAAAGATTGACATGCCAAAAGGGGACCTATTAATTCGTCTAACATTGTTAATTTGTTTAAGCATGAAAATAGCCTTTTACTACAAGAGTTATAAACGATGAGAGTGACATTAAAAGAAGGAGCAAAGGCGATTGGTGTTTGGATGAAAACAAAATAGTACTCTGACCGAAATCGAAGTTGTACGAGAAAACTTAATTTAATTCTACTTTTTTAGTTTAACTTTCAGGGTGGTGAGACGTTCACCATTGTTGCTTTCTGTATACCTTTATTAGCTTCAAGCATTCATATCAGCAGAGGGTAAGGAGAAGTTCATTTGAATGCAATGCGTAAATTCAGATGAATCATCCATCTCTTTGAAAACATTTATATCCCGATACGAATTTAAAACAAGCAATAAAGGTTGAAAAAGCAGGATTTAATCATGAATTCATCAAATTTCAGTAGAACTCATCAGCCACTGAATACTCTGCATACACGAATAAATATACTTTTGAAATTACATTGAGAGATATAAGACTGATAACTAAACAAACTACATCGAATTAGTCATCCAGAAAGACACGTGCGAATGTTTTCCAGGTCATGTTCAAATAGATAAGAAGAGAGAGAGAGTATAAGAGATCAAAATTAAGATAAATTGCATTACGCTTCAATTACATCACTTAGATAAACAATTAGTCATTAGGGAATATAACAAGAATTGCAAACAGACCAATATCAATAGTAATAGTTATAATAATAATAATTATAGCGTTGAAGGGAGTTAAGATAATCTTGCTGATGAAGCATAGTTTTAAATGAATCAAGAATAATAATAATAATAATAATAATAACAATAATAGTAAGAAAAGGTAGAATAATAATAATAACAAGTAGATAATAATAAGTAAAACTTATTACCACTGTAGATTCAGAGTCACGACCACCTCCTTATGTATACAGAGAGCTGGTTTATAAATCCGAATTGCATAAGCCTCTGCAGATTCAGGCATCTTCTTTTTCCTTTGTTTGCTGACAATGGTGAATGACTTGACCGCGTGTTTATAATCTACAAGATGTTTTGTTATTGAGGATTTTGGCACTTTGAACTTAGCTATTTTCAACCATTTTGTCAAATGCTCCATCATGCGGGTAGACAATCGCCTTTCCGTACGACCTATGCATTTGCTACCACAAACACACTCAAATTGATATATGAAGTTTGAAGTGTCGAGGATTGGCTACTGGTCTTTCCCAGATTGTTGAAGCACTCGTTTGGCGGTGTTAGGGATAACATGTTTTGCAGCATAATAAGTTCTCTTGATGGCTTTGTAGGGTCTTCGTTTCATTACTTCCTGTACATCATCTCCTTTGAACGGCAAATTGATATATACAGGTTCCTTTGGAACTGTTTGAATTGTTTTGCAGGGGGTAGTTTACTCAGAGTATTTATTAAGGAACTTCTCAGGATATCCATTCTTAGATAAAATATCCTTCAGAGATTTTATTTCACGTTCAATAGTACTGTCAGAACAAATTTTTTTCGTGCTATATTGAAAAGTGTTCTGACTAGGTTCTTTTTGTACTGGATTGGAACAAAGCTCTTGAAATGCATGTTCTGTCCTGTCCAGGAAGACTTTCTAAATATAGATCTTTCGATTGTGCGATCATTCATTTTGGCTAGAAAATCGTCTGGGAATTTAATAGTATTGTTTTCCTATTATTCTTCCTCTTCTTCTTACTATTATTGTTATTATTATTATTATTATTATTCTTGATTCATTTAAAACTATGCTTCATCAGCAAGATTATCTTAACTCCCTTCAACGCTATAATTATTATTATTATAACTATTACTATTGATATTGGTCTGTTTGCAATTCTTGTTATATTCCCTAATGACTAATTGTTTATCTAAGTGATGTAATTGAAGCGTAATGCAATTTATCTTAATTTTGATCTCTTATACTCTCTCTCTCTTCTTATCTATTTGAACATGACCTGGAAAACATTCGCACGTGTCTTTCTGGATGACTAATTCGATGTAGTTTGTTTAGTTATCAGTCTTATATCTCTCAATGTAATTTCAAAAGTATATTTATTCGTGTATGCAGAGTATTCAGTGGCTGATGAGTTCTACTGAAATTTGATGAATTCATGATTAAATCCTGCTTTTTCAACCTTTATTGCTTGTTTTAAATTCGTATCGGGAAATAAATGTTTTGAATTCCTGACAAAGGACTGTATGTGTATGTCATATCTAATTAACAAATTAATGCAGTATTTTTAATTGTGAATTTTTCTGACTAATTAGTTAATTTTCTCGGGATAAGTTACAGGGATTTCACACAAATTCTGCAAAACTAGAAACCATTACTGATTAAATTTCGGTTTCATATTTTCTATTGCCCACAGCAAATTTGTTCAGTAGATGTCCTGCCAAAATTTGACCCTGATGTTGACAACACCGTGATACATTTAGGTCATCAAGTATAGGAAAATGAACTCCTGAATGTTGACGCGATATTCAATGACTACCCACCTCTGTGAAGTAGAATTTCCTCTAATAATAGGATCTTAATCATGTTAAGATGAAGAAGTCGACTTTCTGAAATAAATTTCGCCTAATTTCATCAGTTTTGTTCTCGGTTACATTTACTGTGGGGGTGTTGAGCGAGTGGATAGCTCGATGAACTTTTCTACGTTCTTCATTCGAATATATATAAATATATATATCGATTTGGTAGTGAATAATGCTCACAAGGAAAGGATTATTTGTGGGTTTCTATTCTACAACATTTGACTTATAATTTTGCGATGTAAAATACGATGCGCCAACGCATATAATTACTGGAGAATCCATTTCTTGTTTGTTCGTAGAGTTTATTTTGACTAACTGAAAAAATTAGATCTTTGTAGTACAAATAATATGAAATAAATTTGATTATTTTCAACATTATTTATTATCATTATCATTATATCCTTTTACTCCTGGAGGAACATAGGGCTTCAGCTGCGCGTCTCCATTACTTTGTGTTTTTTGCCAACTTTTTCACCCCGATCCAAGTCTTCCCACATGCTTTCATCTCCTCTTCCTCCACATGACATCCTCCAAGTCACTTTCGCACTGACGACAAACTCGCCGCTTCCCTTTCGGGTCCCACTCGAGCAATGGTTTGTCTAGTGATGTCACTTGATGATTTATTTCCTCAGAGTATGGCCAGCCAATCCATCTCCATTTCTTCTTGCCTATTTGTTTCACAGTCGGTTCCTGCTGGGTTGGTTCGCTCACTGCCAGAGATCTCTGTTGCTAATCTTTTCTGGCCGGCCATCTGATCTTGAGTACTGAGCGAAGACAACTTTCGATGAAGGTCTGAAGTTTGTTTGAGGTGCTCTTTATGATGCACAGTTCAAGTCTCTGATCCGTATAGTAGCACTGACTGACTTCACATTGGAGTTGAAGACCCGCATCTTATTTTCATTTTCATGCTGAGTGCTGTTGATCTCCACACAGACTTGAAAGTAATCAAAGCTTGTCTTACTTTTCCGATTCTGGTTTTGATATCCTCGTCAGTTTCATCCGCCTGTAGTTGAAACGATTCTCCCTAGGTTTGTAAAGGAGATTGATTCCTTCAGGTTCCTTCCTTTTATGCTGATTGTTTTCTGTTGTTGTTGTTGCTGTTGGTGTTGGCCAGGTATCTTCATCACCTCTGTTTTATCTATAATCACCTGAAGTCCTATGACGCGCTTTTCGATCAGTGCGTTACTTTTTGCTGTGATAAATAAAACTCTCATTTCTTTTTTATTGCTCACCATGAAGTTCTGGAAATTATTGCAATCCGTTTACTTTCGAACACTTAAACTCTGGATATAATATCATCGACTACTGATAACTATAACAAAGTTTTTGACATTTTATGACTTATAACAATAACTCATATCTATAATTGTATATATTGTTAGATTTATATGTTCAACTTGTCCCAAGGCAGTGAGTCTATAGTTTTCGTATCATTTTAGTTAACTGTGCTGAACTATATTGCATGTTGTTGTATTGTATCGTTGTTGCCGCTTTTGTCCTTTTTGCTGTGAATTGTTTTCCTTTTGCTGGTGTTGTTCTGATCGTTTTATCCCTTGTTATCTGATTTTAACATTATTTAGTGAATTCAAAAGGCAGCATTTTATAAGTATTTCAGAAACAAAGTCAGTATTTTGTTACAAAGTATGGACGTGGGTGATTGCATATTGTTATGAAAAACTGCAATATTTTGTTAACAAATTATACTGCTTATTTCATAGATCAATACACTCAGATACTCGAAGATCGAAGAAGCAACATATTCAACTTGGGATTAAATATGATAATAACAGTAATGACTGCATCTATGCCTTTTGTTAGACAATTGCCTATGAAGAGCATCCTGCCGACCAAATTTAATAACCTCAAGTCAGTTGAAATTGTCCAGTAATACCTTCCCAATCGCATTACAGACTTGAAAAGTGGAATTCAGCCAAATATGCAATGAGTTGTTATTTGTTATTATTACCATCTCTTTGAGGTCCGAGTGGAATAAGCGGATTCAGAAGTACATCTCGACTTCATTCTGTTCTCGCCATTCCTCTTTAGCTGACTCCATAATCACCCAAAACCTCTCATTTTCTGCTCACACGATCTTCGTCATGTCTCACTCGGATTTACTCGAAATCTTTCGCTTCCCATTCGTGTTCCACTCGAGGACACGTCGACTGATTTCATGCAAAAGATTCGTAAACTTTCATATAAAAATCTAAAGGTTGCTGACTGGTTCGTTGACAGAATGGTGGTTTTCTAACTGATATCAGCTCATGATTAAATCCTCCATGCAATCAAACAAAATCCCTACAAAACCAATACTTAAAAATTAATCTGCTGCTCACTAGTGACTGGCCCTATTCAGGCAGTTAACCTGAGGTTCTAGTGGGAAGCCGTGACCAGTAGGGTGCAGCAGGTTGAAGATGAGGCAGTAACTCATCGAAGAAGACATTGCAAAGTGGTAGCGCTACGTCGTGAATTGGCAGAAGTTAGAATTCAAGGACCATTGGATCGGGTCCCAGTGGCTCAATGGTCTACGAGCTCGCCTTGTAACCAGAAGGTCCCGGGTTCGAATCCCGGTGGGTGCGTACTGCTGAAGAGTCCCAAACTAGGACGAAACAGCTGTGCATTTCTCGCAAATTATCCAGTAATATGAGACGTAATCCTAGTTATTTCATGGTAGTACAAAGGCTTTATTACAACTAATAGAAAATATTCTTCTGAGTTCAAAATGAACAAAGAATGAATTCTGAGCCTAAGCGTGGACAAATGATTACATTCCGCACATACTTCATCATAAATGATGTGGCTTTTACGCAATAGTTATTGTGATGTTCTTTGTTATTCGCATGAGCAGAAATTCTCAATGCACAGAAAACATATCTCGACACATGCAGAAATAATCAGTCATCCTTTGTGATAGAAATGAAGAGAAAAGAACAAACAAAAGTTCTTATCTCTGATATTGAACTTTATTCGAATGAAGCTATGTTGACAGGAATGGAATACATCAGTTAATCAATATCTCCCTTAATATTGAACTTATTAAACCAAGGTCCTGCTCAATTATCGTAACAAAGATTTTAGTTAATTTCATAAGCAATTTCAGAAAAGAATCCATGGCTTAGAGGATTTCATCATGAGCTGACATTAGTTAGAGAACCACTGGAAAACCTGGGAGTACTGGACGGCTGTTTCGTCCTAGTTTGGGACTCCTCATCAGTACGCACCCACCACCAAGGGTTGGGACCTTCTGGTTACAAGGCAAGCTAGTATACCAAACTAGGACAAAACAGCTCTCCAATACTCACAGGTTTTCCAGTGGTTCTCTAACCAATATCAGCTCATGATGAAGTTCTGTAAGCCAATCAAATTCCTACAAACCAACACTTGAGTATCAATGAGATACTCACTAGCGACTGACCCTATTCAGGTGGGTATTTACCTGAGGTTCTAGTGAGAAGTCGTGACCAGTAGGGTGCAGCTGGTCGGGTGTGAGGACAAATACTCACCGAAGACATTGGCTAGGGATCGCGCTATGTCGTGAATTGTCAGAAGTTAGAATTCATGGGCCTTTGGATCGGGTCCCAGTGGCTTATTGATCTACTCCTTGTAACCAGAAGCTCCTGGGTTCGAGTCCCAGGAATGCGTACCGCTGAAGAGTCCCAAACTAGGACGAAACAGCTGTCAAGCACTCCCAGATTTTCCAATGGTTCCCTAACCAATATCAGCTCATGATGAAATCCTGTAACGAATCGACCGAATCCCTACAAACCAACCCTTGAGAATCCATAGCTATTATATGGTCTTATGGAAAAATAAATATCGAATAATTGTTAACACCGAATTCTAGATCTTTGGAGAGAAGGTTCTTCTGGATGCTTTGATTGTTCGCTGAGAATGTTGACTGTTATGTTCATATTTAACAAAATTATCAAAGTCCAGGTAATCAGAGGCAATTTAACTGGTAACACAATGATTCTTGACTTATGAGAGCAAAGTTTTAAGCCTTGTGCCGGTAGAAATAATGCCTGTGACAAACAAAAGAAACCACGATGATGAAATAAAAACAGACGTCAATTAAAACAACAATAAAATAATCATCTCATGATGTTCACAGAACAGATTTCATCTTGACTGAAAGAAGGATCGACAATTTGCGTCCAGTGAGTCCACAGGATTATTGTAGACCATCAGAGAGCCAAAGCTGACTCAGGGAACGGTACTGATAAATCTTAGTTTTAACCATGTTACATAAATTGAGCAGCACAGCTATCACAGTTATTACATTGAACGTGCAGACAGAAAAGTTTTATTTAGTTTTTATGTCATCCGATGTCCTTGAATTCTGTCATTACCCCTACTATGATTATATTTCCACCGCTCGTTATTAAAACAAACTCGTCATCATCTGGATACTTTAAGGCAATAGTAATTTCACTCCACATCGCCGGACACACTTAGCATCCATTCATGCACCCAATGTTAACAGCTTTAGCAAAGTTTGTCCTATTCTACTAGATCTGACTGCGTTGTCATTGAATTTGAGTTTTTCAGACCTCAGAAAGTGCTCGATAAGTTTGAAAACTTTGATGAAATTTGAAGAGGCTATTTTCAGTCAAATAAATATTTAACTCGGCTGTACTTTTTCACAATCAGAAGATTTGAAAGCTCCTCTTAGTGAAACACATCCTACCGATAAAACCTAATGAATTGTGTTGAGGAAAGCATGTACACCATCATCGCCTCAAAGACAACTTATTCCCATCATTGTGTAATTATGATAAAATCTGATAAGGAGGTTTGGATCATGTTATTTGTGTTAGAACTAAATTCAATATCTGAACTCTTATTTTCAGCTAAGCTTTTTGTGGATCACCAGCCTGTCGAAACAAACATAGCTGGAATGCACTCACTACACAACAGATTCAACGATTACATAGGGGGGATTCCATAAAAATGGAATTACGACTCATCACTAGAAAGAAGGCCAGCGCACATGCCCAACAGCTATTCCGAATAATATTAATAGGAAGAATTGAGATCACAAAAGTGACAATAAAACAGTGGCCTTAGAGAGCTTCACTCTATAACTTATTAGTGTTTCCTTATTGTGGACCACTGAATTCGATGAACAATTTTCAGGATGAGATTTAGACGTGTTGCATCTTAAACGCTCTCCTACGTTAACGTTTCAATAGGAGTTTCTTCAATTTTCCCAGTTAGGGTCCACTAGCACCGCGGTCAACCATCTCTTTCTTTCCTGGTTAAGTATAGACTGGAAAACTAAGAAGCCAGTAAACAAAGCGACGTTCTCGAATGCTTTGGAAACTGATATCACCTTTTACACTGAATGCAATTTTGAGTTCATTGACTGAACCATTCTTTATGTAGGCAACTTGTCATTTCGATTAGATTACATTACATTCTTGACAGTATAGACAAAAGCTGAGTACTCGTTCCAGCTTTAATGTGACTAAAGAAAACATGAATATATGAATTTAGAATTATCGGAAATGCAGTACATACCTAGTGACTAAACAGTATATAGGGAATTCAAACAGAAAAAGATAGTCAACATGCAATTCAACTTGTGATTGTAAGGTACTGAATACAAAGGGGACATTGATCCACAGAAAACAATTTTATGAATATTTTCAAATTTCAGACAACTGCTTACCACAGTTAAACCAAGTCCAAAAAATACACTGAAGACTATATACGCTGCTACCTGAAAATAAAAGGCGATAACCTTTAAAGTTCTAAGTTGAAATGAACAACAAGATAAACCATTATATTTCTCTACCTTTAATGTGCTTATGTATTTTATATTATTTACAGTGATCCTGATCATAACAATAATCAATCGTGTTTCTTGGTAGATAGAAAGTGGTTGTGGAATTCCGGATACGCATGCAGTCTCATTTGAGACACATCAATTGGTCATATCTTCGATCTCTAATAGTTGGGTGATAGAGATCCCCTGGGATAATTTCTTCGAGAAACCAAGGAGATATCTGCTAGACCGATTGGGCCACAAGAGCCCAACTTTTGGCAACTAGTTCCAGTTATTGATTTCCCTGAATCAATGTTCTTTTCTTCTAGTCTTTAGACATTGCTAAAGCGTCCTGATGAGAAAAAGTCAACATGAGAACAGAGGTGGAAAACACTGGTTCAGTCAGTCAGCACAGTGGTTAGGACTCTCGCCGAACATGCACATGGTCCGGGATTCGAGCCCGCACCGACGCACATCTGATATCTATGGTCGGCGTGCAAAATTTGGGCTACCGATATCCATGCTGAAGATTCCATACTTGTACCGAAAATACAGTGTGAAATCAAACTGTAAATCAAAAATATAAAAAGAAATATAAAGAACAAAAGATACTTGAAGGAACACTTAAACAGTTTTAATAATC